ACATGCACACATACAGACCACACATACACACCACAATGCACACACATATATGTGCACATACACATATATACTTGTATATTCACACGCACGCACACACCACACCATACATGCACACAGACACCACACATGCACACACACATGTATACCCCTCTATACGCATACATGCACACACCACACATGACATATACACACATACACATAAGCGTGCTCACACACACATGTATATACACATCTACACACATACATACACATTTGATTTGCTTTCAAATTTCTGCCTGGGCTAAGGAATCTAATTATGTGTTAATTATCTTTACTTCTGTGCTGTGTTTGGGACCACCAGATGGTGAGACGGCTGTCTGTTGTTGGTGAGGTCCCTACAACCGGCTCTGGGAACACCTCCTGGGTACTAAAGGACGAGGTGACCACACCAGCATTTGCTGTGTGCACATGGGCCTGCATGTGGGGATGTGGCTTTCACTGTCATCCACCAAACACTCACCAGTCACCAATTTTAATCAGTCTCAAAGAGACCTGCAGAGCCACCTCCGTGGTCAGCCACCTGTTCCCAAAGGCCTCCCTCAGGCCTCTGCCCAGAGCCATCAGCGTGGGCATTGTCCCCACATGCAGTGAGGGGTTTCTAACTATGAGGCAAACCACTACTGTGCGCACACACACACACACACACTGAACACAGCCTCATGGCAAGGTATGGAGAAACTGGAAACTCAGGGAAGACGGAGCTGTCTGAGGCCCCCATGTGTGGTCCCCGCACGCATGCTAGGTGAGACTCGTCAGCTGTGCCATCCTCTCTGGGTGGTGGCATTTGGGAGACTGCTCAGCAGACTGAGGCCACTGCCGACCATGTCCCGCTTTACAGGCCCCCACTTTTGAGGGTGTGAAGCAAATACGGAAGGAAATGCCCACCTGGTGCGGATGGATTTGAACCTCTGAGCTGCTCAACAGTAATGAAGCCATGTGGGGGGAGGGGCGGGAGGGGCAGGTAAAGACCCCTGTGCTGTCCTCTGTGCAGCCTGCACCCCATACCCACACCTAGGCCAACCCCAGCCCCCAGGCCGGAAAGACCCTCTGGAGCACTGCTCAAAGTCACCACTGTTCGCTTGCCGGCCTGTGTCTGCACAGAGAGAAGTCCTCAAAGTGAGCACACAGCCCCCTCCTCACTGCACAGATGCCTGTGGAGCTCTGCTGGCTGCTCCGCTGGGCACTCCAGCGTGGGAGCAAAACCGGGTACGGGCTCTGCCCTACTGGCCTGTGCACTTGTGGGCAAGGCAGAGGTGCACACAATGGCCACCAGGTAGGTGCAGGAGGAGCCGACTGCAGCGGCCCTGCGTGGTGGGAGGGTAGGTGTGGGCGCAACATGTCCCTGTGTGTGTGCAGACTGCCCAGAGCTCCGGGGCTGGAGAAGCTGCTCACCCACCATGTCAACACGAAGTGACACAGCAAAAGCCACTGCTGGTACAAAGTACCAGGTGCAAGATGTTCTGGTTAGAAATTACACTGCATTTCTGTTGAATTGATGATCTGTATATCTCTGAGATTTTTCACAAACATGATAACCCATTTCACATGTATCTTAAACATTCTTCTTGATTACAGAGTGAGAAACAGCGCAGCCGTGTGCGGACAATGATAAAGCAGCTGGCTGGTCATACGTACCTGTCAGGAGCTGTCCCAGCAGCACAAATTCCACCGTCACTGCAGAGACACTGCGCTGATAAAGGAAGAAAGCCTGGAAAATCAATGCGCCTGGGGCTAGAGCGGTTGCTCAACACACAGAAAACATCTCTCTCCAACAGGCCAAGCGCTGCGGAAATTCCCAAGCCCTGCCCTGGGACAGCCAAGGAAAATTTAATCTCTCCAAATCCTCACCAGAGCACTCCATCCTGCAGCCCTGACAGCCACACTTATAATTAATTATACAATTTCGATGGGAATATCGACTAAACAAAGCTATAAATCATAGAAAAAGTCAATAGGCATGGACACATTCAATCATGTCCCCGCCAATGATTACTACTCTTAAAATACAATAATTATTTTCAGGAGCCAGCTTGAATTAAATTTCTGTCAGACGGGTACAAGACCGGTGGTTGATGAAGGATACGATGGATTTTGGGGCCGAGTCCGGCGCAGGCACATCCATCCTGCGGAGAGGCAGTTTGTTTTCCGTGGCCGTGGTGCCGCGTGTTTAACCAGACCATGAAGATGAGATTTTCTCAGTGGCTCATCAGGCCATCTGTCTTGTCCTTCATGGCTGACGGGGGCAACGCCCCAATCTCTGGGCATAACTGACATGGCAGCCGATTGCTCAGCGTGCGTGCACCTGGGCAGGTGCCTGGCCACGCACATCCACGTGAGCCCACGAGCTGCTCCTGAGCGCCGCTGTCTCAGGCGCTGACCAGACGGGACCGAGCCGGAGCACAGCCCTGCCGCGGCTGACAGCTCCCGCTCGGGCCTGGCTCTTTGCGGGATCCACACGGAGCAGCCTGAGAGGGAGCAAGGCCCCCAGGTGGGCACAAGCTTCCTGCCGTGGGCAAGAGGGTACTTCAGCCTTCCCTAAATCATCTCACGGATGTCTGTTCTCTACTTCAGCCAACTGTGTTTTCCATCTTAGAACCAAATCCAAAGGTTCTCCTGAACATTCAAACTAATTTTTTCCTATTTCTAGAAAAGATGTGAAACACTGTCACATGGAAAACGCAGAAGTAAAAGTGTATTCTTTGTTTAAACACTAAGAGGAGAAGGAAAGGCCTCTAGATCCACACCTAAGACATTCATTCCCCAGAACTTTCTGGATGTTGCCAACTCTGTGGCACAATTCCTCTTGTGGCCGCTGGGGCCTACTCTCACCAGTCTCCTTGCTACTTCCAGAATATTCTGTTCCTTGACGCCCCTGCATCCTCCCCTGGTATTTCCTGCTTTCTCCCAGCCCTGCGCGAAGTCCTCAATGTGCCCTCCCTGACCCTCCACGAGCTCGGTCGGTCACGTAGTGCGTGGGGAGCATCATGAGTCTCTAGGGCCGTCACCTGCACATGCACACTCGCTCCTCCTCAGCTCCCCTCTACCCCGTGGAAACGACGGGGATGCCTCACTGTCCCCACAGTGAGCAGGTGGGCAGGACGCGGCCCCCACCTCCCCAGAGCGTCTATGTGTGCCAAGCTAAGGAGGGCAGGCTCCTCCTGAGGCCCCGAGGTGGTGAAGGGCAAGGGGAAGGTCCGGCAGGGACGGCTGTGGCAACCGCGGGAGGACGTGCACGCATTCTCCCACAAGGAGCAAAACTACGCCCTGTGTGCCTGGGTGGAGAGGACAAGAAGAGGCTGGTGGACGTGTGAGGACGCAACGTTGGGCTCCCGCGGCAGGAGCCAGGCCCCGGAGGAGGAAGACAGACCCAGGCGTGGCCAGGAGCCAGGGTGAGAGGACAGGGGTCACAGGAGCCCCCGGGCTCAGGGCCGATGAGTGGCAAGATGCGTTGCCATTTTCCTAGAGAGGGGACGAGGACACGGGGAGAGGAAGGGTCGGAGCTGCAGGTGAAGGCAACACACCCTGCCCTTTTACCTGGCACCTGGACGAGCCCAGCTTTCTTCTGAGCACTTAGCACACACAGACCATGAGTCCGCCGCACCTTACGAGGGGGAAACTGAGGCGCACACACAATGCACCCAAACACCCAGCTGGTCTGGACGAGCCCTCATGTGAGTGGACACGTGCACACGCCTGACGGGCGCCTTATTCACAGACCCAGGGTCCACTGCCGGGTGCCCGCACCACTCAGTCCCCTCGCTTCCTGCACACCTGCTGCCCTGGGCAGCTCCCTGAGGGCGGGAACGGCCCCTGCACCACGGCAGCCCCGTTGGGGCCACAGCTGGCTTGTGCTAGCTTCGAGAAGTGACTTTAAGTGTTTGGGAATCCTGGGAGCTGTTATTAAGCACAGTGGTCACATCACGCGGCAGCTGGGGGCATTTACACCACAGAAACTGGCAGGGGCCACAAGCAGGGCCCCACCCCAGCCCGGTGTCACACATTCGCCAGAACGCTGCTACTCACACACAGCAGGTATCCAACAGATGTCTGTAGAGAAAACACACCCACGACAAGGCGGGACCTCGCCGCAGTAAGACCAGAATGAAAGCGAGCGTGTGCGGACGCTAATTCGCCAGAACGCTGCTACTCACACACAGCAGGTATCCAACAGATGTCTGTAGAGAAAACACATCCACGACAAGGCGGGACCTCGCCGCAGTAAGACCAGAATGAAAGCGAGCGTGTGCGGACGCTCACCGTCGTCTGTCTGTCTCGGGCAGAGCCCGCAGCGGCTGCTCCTGCAGGGACTGAGGTCCCGTGTGCTGATCTGAGCTGCACATTCCCATTCACACGCGCTTCAACTTACACACACGCGCGCATGCACACTCACACACATCCACCCACATACAGACATGCGCACTCACTCACACGCACATCCGCACAACTCGTGCACACGCATGTGGACACACGCACCCACACAAGCACCCATGTCACACACGCACTCGCACAGATGCCACATACAACGCCATGCACTCAGCAAGCCCAGCAACAGGGATGTGAAGAGCTTGCACACACCCATCAAGGGTGCACATGGCGCTTCTCCCATTGGAGAGAAAGCCCAAGCCCCTGCTGGCCTGCCTGGAGTCCAGGGCATCTCATTGCTCCCCTCCAAGGCACCCAACATCTTTCTTCTCACATATAGGGGACTCAATGCTGATGGGCCAAGGGAGCATCATGCTGTCCATAAGCAGGGACAGCGACACGCTAGCCACAGCCCAGCCCAGTGGCAGGACCCAACCCACCAGCCATTCCCGGCTTGATAGCTGACACCTGAGTGGGGGGCGGGGGTGTCGAGGAAGGGTGGGCCCAGGCAAGCGGGGAAACGGGAGGGACCCTGGGGCCTCAGGTCTCAAGGAGCGGAGCTCCTAGGACCCTGCCATGTGCCTGGTGACAACACTCACCGCGGTGCCGTTGTTGTCTCGGAACACTTCCTGGTCAAAGTAGTCGAAGAGCTTCTTCTCCAACTGCAGCATAACCTGTGGAGTCCAGGTGGCCGTCAGTGCCTCAGTGGGAGGGTTCGTGGCCCCACGTGGCTGCCCAGCTCGGCCTTGGCTGCGGCGGCCACATGTGTCACTGACTGGCAGTGACTGGCCTGCTTACCTTCCGGTCATTGTCTGACTCTCGAAAAATCAACTTCACAACTTCGTTGGTGTCAGCAGCCCGGACTGTCTGCATGGTGGCCTTTGTGCAGAGTGTCTGGGGAAAGACACGGGAGGAACTCAGCCCCAGGAGGAGGTCTGCCTGCCTGGCCCAGTGCCCGGGCCAACGTCACCCAAGCTGGATCAGGGTTTTCCACCCACTGTGACTGGGTGGAACACCTGTTTCCAGACACGGCCGCCAGGAAGGTGGCTCTGTGGAGCTTTGCCTCCGGTTTCTGCTCCTTGTGCCAAGGAGCCCCTCCCCGACAGCCGCCCCTGGCACAAGTGGGAGGCTGGCTCTGCACAGTCCCTGCCTGGCCTGAGGCTGCCACCCATGACAGAGAGCAGCTGCACGCTGTGCAGCCCTGCAACCCCGAGCCCAGCGCGAGCAGGCGGCTGCTGCCCTCCTGTGCCCCCGAGCTTCCCTCCACTGCCTCAGCCTCCGGGCCGAAGAGGCCCACAGCAGACTTGACTAGGGATGTCTGCACAGCTCACCATCACTCACGCGGGGGCAGGGGCTGGCGGCAGGTGGACAGGACCCCGAGAACAGCAACAAGGTGCTGGGGCACCCACCAGGGGAGCCAAGGAGAGGGACGGGCAGGGCCAGCGGAGGGAAGGGGCGGCCACCCCCCCTCACAGCTGCGCTGCCCCACAAGGCACGGTCTGAGTCATCTGGCTGGTTAATAAGTTCAGGCCTGTTTAGAACATTCTTCTTGTCTTAAGCTCGGCACGGCGCAAGGAGAGGTCTGCAGGGGTCACTCCCCAAAGGCAGGACAAAGCTGCAGATCCGCTGGCAGGCAGCGGAGGTGCAGGAACATGTGCGCTGTAAGTTTGGCAGAAGCTATGAAATGCAGGAGTACTTAGGGATATGCTTGAAAAGGAGGCATAAGACCCTGAGCTGACAATGACCAAGCACCCCCAGGAGAAACTAAAGCTCTTCAGACACGGGCCCTGTGGCCAATGCAGGGGTGGAGGAGATGCAGCCACTTCCTTATACAAGGCGGGTGTTCCAGTGATACAAAATGCACAGAGATGGCCAAGTCAGAGAGAGAAGGCAGACCCGAGGCTGCTGGGGGCTAGGGTGACAAGGGTACTGACCGCAGCGGGGCTGGAGAGAGCTTTGGGGGCGACATTCTACAACTGGATTATGGTTTGCATGTAAACTACGCCTCAATAAAGCTTTTCTTTTTTTTTTTTTTTAAAGAGCATATAATTTTTGTTTTTAAGAAAGACAACTGCAACAAACTCCACTGAAGGAGCCCTGGAAGCCCGTGCTGCTGAGGACGCGAGGACACCCAGGAGAGGGGCCTGGCGTTCAGCAGGTCTTGGCTCAGGCAGAGCCCCACCCTCAACTCCCAGAGCTGGGAGCCCACCCTTCCGTCTGCTGCCTGCACCCCTCCCACAGCAGGCTACCAGCAGGCCTTGAGTGGAGACCCACTGGGGGGCCTGGCGTTCAGCAGGTCTTGGCTCAGGCAGAGCCCCACCCTCAACTCCCAGAGCTGGGAGCCCACCCTTCCCTCTGCTGCCTGCACCCCTCCCACAGCAGGCTACCAGCAGGCCTTGAGTGGAGACCCACTGGGTAGGAACCCTGCAAGTCTCAGGTGGCCCTGCCTACCTCCTGCAGGGACACAGCTGGGGACAAGAGCCAGCAGAGCCAGCTGTATGTGGGGTGTCCCAGCGTGGGCTCAGGAAGTGGCTGCCCGCAGTTCCCAAAGCACACTCCAGGATAGGCCATTGACATTCAGAGCACAGACCAGCTAATCGGGTCAAGCCCCCCAAAGTGGCTTTTGGACTCATGTGTCACAAATCAGTCTGGTGCCTTCAAACAGCATGAGGATTAGAACAAGCACCCACACAACCCAGAGCAGACTGCCGGCCACCCTGCCCATCTCTTCGTCCTAAGGAGGTCCGGGCCCATCCAGATGCTAATGTGCTAAGTGGCTTAAGCGGCTTTCAATGGCAGAAGGCTGCACAGGCAGACGGCCATTGTAGCCACCCCAGGACGCGGTTCAGGAAATTCATGGTTCTGTCTCCCAAAGGCATTTGCTGGAAACTTAAAAAACTGCTTTATCTCAGCACTTCAGGCAGCTCCCAAAGGATAAACATCTGATGAACCCAGGGCCAAATAAAGGGCCACTGCCTCCAGTCCCACTCCCTTTCTCCCACACACCTCCTGTGGCTGCCTCATTCACAGGTTTTAAAGCAGTGCGCAGGCCAGAGGGCCTTTCAATCCAGCAAAGCCGTGGCCACTCATGCAGAAAAACACCAGGGCCCGGCCTTTCCGGCACCTACTTATACGAGGGAATTTTCTCTTTTGAAAACAGAAAAAAAAGAAATGCTCCAAGCGTATTTTTAAAAAGCTATCTGAGATTTGTTTCACACTAGTAGCTGCACGACAGGGCGCTGGAAAGGGTGGTCCCAGCACGCCGTCTCATTGGCAACTGGAATGCTGGGTTTTTCTCTTGGAATTTACAGGGCCGCTGTGCGGAGAGAAGCCCACCTGTTGTGTGGATAACAAAATTCCTGCATGTCTCCTTCTTTGGATAGCTAAGGAAGCATGCTGCCTGGACCAGCACAGTGTCCACGGGCCCAGGATCCTGGCGACAGCCCAGGAAGGGGCCTTTTCCATGCAATCGGACAGTGCAGTTTTTACAGTGCACCTGATGAGTGGTCAGAGATGTCTGATGTGCACGTGCACCACTAGCCCAACGCATCCCGCTATCCGTCACAAAACTGCCACGAACGCTGCTCCACAGTGTTCAGAAGAGGCAAACGCAGCCTCTGGGACCCTAACAGCCCGAGCATTCTTAAAGGGCCTGTTCAATGAAAAATGTCCTGTGCTCTCCGATATGTATGAGCATGTGGACGCACTTGGGGATGCATGACTGAGCGTCAGCCACTGGCTCAGCCTCCAGCTCCAGACCCAGCCTGGCAATGACCCCAGTTGGCACGTCCTGTGTCCTCACTAAGTAGAGTCTGGTTTGGGGGACATGGTGGGCTTCAGAGTTTAGAACAAGATGCGTCTTTTAGAAAGTCTTTTAGAAAGTTTCCAAGTTCTGTGCAGTCATTTTCGGTCTATGGTGGTAAGAGGCAAATCGGGCAAAAATACATAAATATAGATTTATGTTTGTTTTTTATAAAAACAGATTTTTAAAATTTAGGTAGCCTTAAACACAGAGTAGAGGCACAAAACTTTGTAAAGCTTTCTCCCTTTACTTGCTAACTTTCTAAATGGCAAATGAGAACTATACGCCATCTCCTCTGTATCCGCAGCAAGAATTAGGAGGAATTTTTTGAAAAGAACCTCAACCTGCACTCTCCAATAGCATGTGAGGCGTGGCATCCACCGGTACTCTGGTTTTGAGCGCAGCTTCCCTTAGTGCCAGGATCACTCTCAATGCACCACAGCCTCCGCCGACAGTTGGGCTGAGCACAGGGCGGAGCTCATCAGTGCATGCGGCACTCTGAGAGCCATCAGAGAGACCAGACACTCTCCAGAGGATCATGCAGCCCAGGACCAGACAGACAGGGATTCCTCAGGTCAAGCCGAGACAGGTCACTGGTCAGCACTGTCTTTCAGTCACCACGGGCCAGGGCTGGGAGGGTAGCGCCATGTTCCACATTCAGCGACCACCCTGTGGGGTGCAGCATGGGGCCTCCATGCCAGGCACTGTGCCAGGTTTTGTGGAGAGCCAGTGGACATGTCCCTGTGTCCTTTGGGACAGGTAACTAGTGAGGCTTCTTGGAGGAAGAACAGGTGGGGTTTGACCAGAGCAGGTGGGGGGTTCCAGGTAGAAACCCCGGCCTGGACAAAGGCTGGAAGGTCTGGGAGCAGGGAGGGGGCAGAGGGGAGCCCATAAGGGCAGGGGGCCGTGAGCAGGGGAGAGGCAGGTGTGAGAGAACTACTGTCCTCAGTCCAGGGGATGGTGGAGCGGCGGGAGGGGACCTAGACAAGGTACAGAGAAGCAGGTGATCAGGGCCCTACTGGGGGCAGGGTCGGTGGAACCACAGGGGCCGTGGAGGTGGAGGAGGGGTGGAGTGGATGCAGGCCTGCCTCTCAGAGCCCCTGAGAAGCGGGGGGAGCCGTCGGAAGAGGTGGGGTGCGCCCAGCAGAGCCAGCGGCCCCTCGCGCAAGCCCCGCCGGGCACCCAGGGGTTCTGCTCCTCAGAGGCAGAGAAAACCAGAGCGCGTTTCCGTTTCGCCTTTGTTCCTCCAGCCCAGAACACACGGGGCGGGGAGTGAGCGCACGAGCTCGGCGGACTCACAGGACTTCCTTTGGGGGCGCGCACAGCCGAACCCGCCTCGGGCAAGGAGGGAAGGCTGGGCTCGGGACGTAGCTCGGAGTCGCAGGGAAAAGTCATCAGAAGCAACCGGCGGGGAAATACCCCTTTCTGCTACAGCGATGTGGTTAACTCCCGGATTATCCCCAGCTGATGGCTACATTCTGTTGACATGTGTTTGAAGCAGGCCAGGCAGGCTGTCAGCTGTGGCACCACGAGCCCTTCCCAGGACGAGAGTCTGCCAGGGCAGCCCGGGTCTGCACCGAGAGCCCAGAAGGCAGGTGCCCAAGGCAGATGGCTGAGTGTCTCTGCCCTCCAGGCGCATTCAAGGGGCTCTGTGAGAGTGTGGAGGCCCCTGTTCCTCTGTGATGAGTGGGCAAAGCCACATGTCCCTATAGGCCACAGGGCACCAGACAACTCGGCTCTCCCGCAGCTGCCCAGAGCACCCAAGAAGCGGAGGCAATGACGTTCCTCACTTTGGCCTCCTGACCCAGCCACTGGCTCTGGCGCACCTTATCCTAAATCTGCACTGAGGGAGGGGGCAGTCTGGTGGGGGTCCCTGGCACACACAGCCTGGACCCCGAGAGGCCGCCAGAGCTGCACTATCTGGCTCAGAGCGGTGCTTTCAGGAGTGTGACAGCACCATTGTCTGGGGTGGCTGCACAAAGAGGTGGGGGCAAGGTTTAAGCCTGACTTTTGTCAGCAGATGAAAACTAGTAGGGCCAGATGTCTGCAGACTGTTTAACGCATGGGCATGGGGACTTTGTCAAGGCTGGAG